ATTTCACTGGAGGGCCAAATCTGCCCTCATCAGGTTATGTTCTCTGCAACAGTCATTTCCTGGTTGATATCAACCATCACGTTCTGATTTGCAACAGTCATGTCTTCCATATTTGGATTAACCAATGATCCTTCATTTGGATCAGCCATTAGTTCCTCTTGTTATTTTCTGAACTTCGGCATTTTCCCAATCTTCCAAAACAGTGATCATATTCTTGGTTTCCCAGGTGTGTAGAGCCCGATCTGGGCCAGGTTGCCACACAATTTCCCCTGTAGTTTCCATGAGTGTGAACTTGAATTGGAGAGCTTTTCCAACAGGTATATCCTTTTCAACAAGACAGAACAAATATGTCAGAACTCAGCAACCAAACATCACATTTCTAGATCTCCAGAATTTCCTTCTTACCAGATCAACTGTCCAAACGTGTCCATCTGACCAGGTCAATGGTATTGCATTTGAAGGGTCCATCTGACCAGGTTGATCTGCAAAAGGTGAATTAGAGAACCCAAGGTTGCTTACTCGGCGAGGTCGCTCCGATGCTTAAGTTAGTATTTGGTTGCGAGCTAAAGGCTTTTGAATGTAGAGAGCTAAAGAGCAGAAAAATTACGTGTACCTTGCACCCTCGGGGGGTGGAGCCTTTATATAATGGAGTCATCGCGGGTTTCGCGGAGTGGTTCCGAGATCATCGTCACGATGAGATCCATTTCCGCGTTAATTGGGGGGTAACGCTACCAACTGATAAGGTTCATCACTTCCGCCCGAATCGGACAGGGAGATAATGCTAGCTGTTATGCGGCATGATCTCGTGGACTTCGGGAACCGTCGGAGGGATTTTCGGAATCACCACATAGTGGCAGATCGGTATCCCCATGTTGACATCTTTAAGTCTCGAACTGGATTGAGTACTGAGGTGACTTGGCATCGAAGTGTGCTTGTTGTGATCTGGTGCCGAGGCGATCTCATTTCGAGGTGACCTTATCTCGAGGTAACTTTAGCTCAGGGTAGCTAGGTACCCAAGGTCGTTCTGTTACGGACTGGTCATGCTGAGTTGTCATCTATTAGTCAGGTTGGGCCAAATCACCCTTCATCAATTGCCCCCCACTCCCTGATTCAAGGGTCCTGACCTGGTGCAGGGAGTTCATGACGTGACAAGTGGATTTGGCTCAAGGTCCAGGCCATTTTTCGGGTGAATCGTTGGTTAGACCAGTTCAGCTGCTCGGCTCAACCAAGAATAACCCAGGTTGCATCCGGTTTATGTGCGGACGTCACGCGATCTACAAACTCCGCGGACGTCAAAAACGCGCTAAACCGATTTCAACCTTGGGGGTCGCCGAGCCGGTTTTCTTAGGAGCCGTCGGATCGCTTTGATCTCGACCGTTGATTCTCAGGTACAGTGGCTATAAATAGGGGACTCGAGACTCATTTTCTTCGCCATAAGTTCACTAGACTTCGGTCTGAGGTCGCGTTCAAGCTCCTTAGCTCGGGTCTTCCAATTCGGTGTTTCTTTTCGATTCGGTTCTTCTCCTTGGTAAGTCTTCCCTAGCTCTCCTCTTTGATTCAATTTGTCTTTCCTTCGCTATGTCTAGTTTCGATAGTCTCCTAGATGAGAGGGAGAGTGGTCACTCCGCTGGAGCTGAGGTGGGTACCTCGGCTCAAGTCGTAGATCGCTCTATTGAAGAAGCCACTTCGGGACAAGAGGCAGCTCACGGTCCTTCTGAGGTAGAATCACCTCAGGAGACGTGAGGGGCCAGTGGTCTGGTGTCCACCTCGCATCGAGGTCGGCAACTAGATAACTTTGGCCCATCGACGATGACAGCGGACAGGCTCCAGACCTTGGTTACTCAGTATAGGCTTCCAAGCGATCTTATTTATAGCCTTCTGGTAGGTAACTTTCCCTGGGAGCATGGTCATGATGAGATCGCGATCTT